GCTTTCAGTAAAGAGGTGAACGTCAAAGACCTGCATCATGACAGGCTCTTCCCCTATGCTATGACATACATACTGTTCAAAGTAGCATTAAACCAAACTATCTGACTATCATTCACTCACTATCTGAATGTTTGTTCCCAAACTGGAGGTAAATGTATGACGCTGGATATGCATGGTGGTGTATGTTAGGATTTCTGGGGCCCTGAATGTACTTTGATAGTTTGTATCTTCATGCATTGTACTGAAATTTTCATTATCAATCTTTTTTTCTCAATGTCTTTTTCCAGTAATCTAGTTTGTATTTAGCTATAGTGTCTCAATTTGGTGTGGCAGCTCTATTGAATAGTGGTTCATAACAAAATCTTGGATTAGAATCCACAATCATAGGTTTAGTGTCAATATAATGTAGACACAACTGAAGTCTTTAACAGGCAGTAATTCCCTGTGTCTTTGTTCATTAATCCTATCTCACTGGCTTTGTCATTATATTGTTATCTTTGTACATTCATCCCACCTTGTGTTGTGTAAACATATCATAACATATATATGTATGTAAACTCTATGTACTAACTCAGCAGTCACCTGATGAAGGAGCAGGAACTAGCTCTGAAACGTCCTGACAAAGAATAAAAGAAGTACCGTAGCTATCAATATAACCTGTCATGCATTTACATAAACACCACTGTCGGTAATATGTTACACATGTCAGTAAATAAATCTCACACCAAATGCTTGGAGAATGAAATCGTAGCTAATGCTTGAGTGTGGAATGACTTTTTAAGTCATTCATCAGCATTATTGGGAATTCAATCACCTGAGGTCATAATGAAAGAAATGAAATGGCAGAGGCGTTGTCATACATTAAACAGATCATGTTTGATATGTGCATAATGGAAATGTGGAATTTACTTTCACTTTGTATGGCTTTGTATATGAAATAGTCTTGGAAGAAAGTGACTCCTTGAGGCTAAATGTATCTCTACAGCAGTAGGAAATACAGTAGTTTAGGCTTAACTGCCAAGACTACTGAAAGGAGAGTACACACATCAGACAGTGTTGATTATGCCTTGTCGACATAAGACTGAATCAACATGGAGGTGATGGATTGTATCACAGCTGATGTATTTTCGACAGTTTGTTACAGTATTGTTGATGAGATGAAAGGATGACACACATCTTTGCTATCATGTTGCACTGAAGTAGATATCAAAGTGAAAAACAGTCTATAAGAGTAAGTACATTTCATCCACTTTGTAAGTCAGCAATTATCCTCTGCTTTCTTCTAATGCCAGCTTGTGGAACTTCATAGAGGAACAAATTCAAAAGAAAATATTTCCCGTGTTGGCTCAATCATGTCTGTATTTGTACCAACACTACGGATATATGCACATGCTGACATCTTTTCACAAGCATGCAATTCTCTGTTATTCATCACAGTTATCAAACACTGGTTCATACAAAAGATGTTTTAGCAATTCAGCATTAACTATTTCCTCAGTTAAGATAGATCATGACAATTCATCTCATGACAATTCAGAATTCTATTATGGTTCTGTTCGGATGTACAAAACCTTCCAAATGGCGTGCTGGTTTTCTTTGGGGAATTAGTCAGCAAAGAGCTGGAGTCTAAGAGACTAATTACACTTTATGTACAAGATCAATAAACAATGAACAATATAAATATAGCTAAGGGTGCCACAGAGAGTCGGTACAACTCTCTCGGCTGTGGGAGAGAGATCTGCTTGGTTAGATCGACAAACCCCTTCTGCTTAACGTCTTGCTGCTGTATGTATTTAACAAAACTTAGAACAATAAAAAGGAACATGATTGGTTGATTGGTTCTTGATACACAATGAGGTGTGCCCTATGGTTAATGAATGGCTAGACAGAGGGGAATACTTAATCCTGTTGGACTGGCACTAATCTTGTTGACATATTTACTGTGTGCTTGGAAAGAGATTATGGTATCACTATAGACAAGCTTGTATGGGGGCTAATCCTTAGTGAGTCTAAATTTAAGTATTTGCTGAGTGTTATTCTAATATAGGTGATGACAGATTTAATTAATTAAAATAGTTCAAGGCAATCTATAAAACTATGTAGACATAACTTTTGGCTTATTGATAAGTATGTTTGAGAGATGGGATCTCGTTACCTTAGGATAGTATTTATCTAAAAGCTTTGAATGTATTAAACTATGTAGACATTGTCTTCTTGAATGGTATGTCAGGGAGATGGGTTCTCGTTACATTAGGCTAGCATCTATCTGAAAAGCTATAACTGAAACTACTACTATTTTGTATCTGCATTTTTCCTGGATCCTAATATGTGTTACTTGCTGTTCTATAATTATATGAATTTTTGTATAAATGTTACACTATGATAACTTATAAAAGAACTTGCTGTGGATCTTAATTATTATATAAATCTTAGTATAAATGTTATATCATGATAATTCTTTGCGCTGCCAGGTTCTCCCTGCAATGGTCAGATTACACCACCATGTCTTTGTGACGTCTGTATAGGCTCATGTTGTGGATGTGCAACTGTCACACCAGACTTCTCCAATTGGATCCTATAGTTTCTTACAATAACAGCACTGAAGTGTCTCTATTCAACTATTTAAAGATTTAAGACACTGGTGTCCGAGTGGTCTAACATACTTAGGTCATAAACGGATAAGCAACTGATGTCAGTAAATATTTAGTTTTTAATTCACACAGTTTTTCCCTTGTCACTGTGGCAGAAGACTACATTCATTAGCCTTCGGGCGGAGTTCGTGGCAGAAGACTACATTCATTAGCCTTCGGGCGCATTCGTGGCAGAAGACTACATTCATTAGCCTTCGGGCGGAGTTCGTCGGTTCAAATCCCGCTGACAACAAACGTTTTTCATGAAATCATTCTGTCATCAAGATAAATGATAGGGAAAAAAGGAAGTTCCGTCATTGCCAAGTGGTGTTTAGCTAACAATTCAGTGAGTTAACCCACAGTCAAAGACAAAGGAGCCATGGTTTAAGACACAGTAACATCAGTAAGTTATCTCACTGTAGCCAATATGAAAAGAGCACATAGTAATTTCCACATGTGTGGCTACAGTGAGATAACTTGCTGATGTTAGTGGGTTATACATGAGGGAAATACCATGTGCTCTTTACGTATTGGCTACAGTGAGATAACTTGCTGATGTTACTGTGTTATACATGAGGGAATTACTATGTGCTCTTTACGTATTGGCTACAGTGAGATAACTTGCTGATGTTAGTGTGTTATACATGATGGAAATACCATGTGCTCTTTACGTATTGGCTACAGTGAGATAACATACTGATGTTACTGTGTTATACATGAGGGAATTACCATGTGCTCTTTACGTATTGGCTACAGTGAGATAACTAACTGATGTTACTGTGTTATGCATGAGGGAATTACCATGTGCTCTTTACGTATTGGCTACAGTGAGATAACATACTGATGTTACTGTGTTATACATGAGGGAATTACCATGTGCTCTTTACGTATTGGCTACAGTGAGATAACATACTGATGTTACTGTGTTATACATGAGGGAAATACCATGTGCTCTTTACGTATTGGCTACAGTGAGATAACTTGCTGATGTTACTGTGTTATACATGAGGGAATTACCATGTGCTCTTTACGTATTGGCTACAGTGAGATAACATACTGATGTTACTGTGTTATACATGAGGGAATTACCATGTGCTCTTTACATATTGGCTACAGTGAGATAACATACTGATGTTAGTGTGTTATACATGAGGGAATTACCATGTGCTCTTTACGTATTGGCTACAGTGAGATAACATACTGATGTTAGTGTGTTATACATGAGGGAATTACCATGTGCTCTTTACGTATTGGCTACAGTGAGATAACATACTGATGTTAGTGTGTTATACATGAGGGAATTACCATGTGCTCTTTACGTATTGGCTACAGTGAGATAACTTACTGATGTTAGTGTGTTATACATGAGGGAATTACCATGTGCTCTTTACGTATTGGCTACAGTAAGATAACTTGCTGATGTTAGTGTGTTATACATGATGGAAATACCATGTGCTCTTTACGTATTGGCTACAGTGAGATAACATACTGATGTTAGTGTGTTATACATGAGGGAATTACCATGTGCTCTTTACGTATTGGCTACAGTGAGATAACTTACTGATGTTACTGTGTTATACATGAGGGAATTACCATGTGCTGTTTATGTATTGGCTACAGTAAGATAACTTATTGATGTTACTGTGTTATACATGAGGGAATTACCATGTGCTCTTTACGTATTGGCTACAGTGAGATAACTTACTGATGTTACTGTGTTATACATGAGGGAATTACCATGTGCTGTTTATGTATTGGCTACAGTAAGATAACTTATTGATGTTACTGTGTTATGCATGAGGGAATTACCATGTGCTCTTTACATATTGGCTACAGTGAGATAACTAACTGATGTTACTGTGTTATACATGAGGGAATTGCCATGTGCTCTTTACGTATTGGCTACAGTGAGATAACATACTGATGTTACTGTGTTATAACATGAGGGAATTACCATGTGCTCTTTACGTATTGGCTACAGTGAGATAACTTACTGATGTTAGTGTGTTATATATGAGGGAATTACCATGTGCTCTTTACATATTGGCTACAGTGAGATAACATACTGATGTTACTGTGTTATACATGAGGGAATTACCATGTGCTCTTTACATATTGGCTACAGTGAGATAACATACTGATGTTAGTGTGTTATAACATGAGGGAATTACCATGTGCTCTTTACATACTGACCTACCGATGTTAGTGTGTTATGCATTAGGAAATAACCATGAAACTTCTCATTTTGCGAGGAAACATGTCAAAAGCTAATTTGTTTTAGTCATGATGTTTTATAATGGCAAAGTGTTCGTTTAATTTCTGAAGAAGGGAGCATGTGTTTGTTACTGTGTGAATGTTGCCATGTTGCAGGGTCAGCCTACCAAGGACACGTTCAGTTCCTGGCGCCTACGGTGGCGGAGTTGGCGCAGCTGGAGAAGAGGGCTCAATCATCGTTCATTGATATGAAGTTCAAGAAGAAGTTTGCCACTCGTTGAAATGTTGAGGATATTCATTACCTGATATGGATGAAGCAGCCAAGGAATTCCATTTAATTAAAAATTGTTAAGTCCTATAGATTTGAATACACAAAGCAACATTTTCATTTATTGAGATCTGTCTTATGCTTCCCTCTGTATGCAGACTGCCTCTGTAAATAAAGCTGTTATTTAAACATGATCAAGTATTAAAACAAAGAAACACTGACATACGTTTGAAAGTCTCTGGTAAGAGTTGTAAGAAGGGCTTTAGTGTGATGTATCCCTAGCTGACCCAACTTAAGTAAAAGGGGGGATTATCAAACAACGTTCAAAAATTTTTTCTTCTACTTTACACACTGTTCCAAAACTGACTACAGTAAGATGTTTTAAGGTTTTGTCAATATATAAACACCAAAGTCTGCATATTACATACTTGACGGTTAAATAGACACAATTCAGAGCCTGAGTTGTTTCTTGCACATGTTATTTGTGGTAGGATATCAATCGTCATAAACTTTCCATTTTATACATATTGTTCATTGACAATTGTCTTAACTGTTCAACACTTTCTGTGTACTAACTGATGAGGCCTCCACTGCTGTGGAGTGTCTTTGTCTCACTGTCTACTACTGTTCAATGCTGGAATCAAGCTACAAATAAACTCCTTCAATGTCCACTGTCCTTGTCTGTACTCTGTGGTGTCACCAGAAACAGCATACAGCATCGTCCCCTGCTGTAAACACTGTATCCTGACACTGTGAGGATAGTCTACTTTGTTTCTTGTTGAAATGTTTTATAAGGTTCATGTTCATAATCTGCCGATAAATAAACAAGCCATGAGGATGAGGATGTAGAACAAAATATTTGAGAAACCAAGGCTGTAAAAATACTAAGAGTGTCAGTATCATTCATGATGCAAATCTCACTTTGTGGCTTTAAGTTAAATAGATATATAAAATCATTATCCACCTTCAATCCTACTTGGATACACTTGCAGGAAAAGGTTACATAAAATGATCCAGGAGAGTAGAGTGAATTGTCTTACTAAGAGCTACTTCATCCATATTGACCATCAAATTTGGTTGGTCAGTTATGTCCCAAATGTTTCATAAAATACAATCTTAAGTTAAGTGTGATGATTTCAATATATTTTACACCACTTTATGCTTTAGTTATGTGTGCAGAACATAAGACTTCAAGTGTCCTCTGACTTGCTGAACTCGGGGCTCACGTGATTGCTGAAATTACAGGACTGTTTAATTACCTTGACTCTACTTCTTATCTAAAAGGCAATAAATTAATGTTATAAGTAGATTTTGATTAATGCTCTATGGCTATATCTCGAATTCAGTTTTCATGAAATATGATGTGCAGGATTGATGTTATGTGACCCCTGTTAAGTTTTACGTACGTATTCTGTTAGTGCAAGAAGTATCTGCATGACTATGTATTCCATCTGTCACAACTGCATGTCAAACAAACACAACGTCAGTCTTGTGACATGCAACATTGTCATTGTGTGATGGCTAAATGTGAATGCCCTGCTGCACTGCTATGTGTAATTGATAAGTAATGCTGTTATTTACTACCAAGGTTCACTCATACCCTGACATTTGAAAGCAAATGTATTTAGGTGAGGCACCATGATGGAAATGAGTTTATATTGGGAGTGGGAGGACTCTTCGCTTCTTGATGTCCTGTTGTAAAACTGGCATAACTATAACATGATTGCAATGAAAGTTTACAAAAATCAGAGATCTGCATAACTTCAGAATCTCCTCCCAGATCAAACCGATATAACTGAAATACTGTTCAATGTGGAGTTAAACCAAACTCACTCACTCACTAACTCACTTACCAAGAAGGGTATGATTTGCTTCACCTTCACAATGGGCAGTGTTCCATCTATGCTCTCTGTCAACAGAATAAGTGTCAACTTATGAACAAACATTTGTGGGTTTGTGAGTGGCTGAGTTTGGTTTAAAGCTGCTTTGAACAGCATTCCAGTTATATCTTGGCTTGATGTGGGAGGGAAGCCAGAAGTGATGCAGGTCTAAGATGGTCACCACTCTGGTGCAAGCCAAGAGAATTGGTATGGTGATGGCAACTTAGAAACACAATCAGTACAAATCTGATATTTGGATCAATGATCACTACTATCTATGATAATCCAAAGGGACACAGCTGTACAAAGCAATGCTGCACCTAAGATGGTGGTGCCACCTGTGACCCCAAATATGTGTGAAGGGAAAATGTTGTACTGTTTTACGTGGCTTATATATTTCTTTGTTCAAATCAAAGTTAGCAGAATTGTCTCAAGACTATTATCATATTTATTCATGCTGATGCTATCAAGTACTATGGTGTAACCCAACATTCACACCTAAACATCACAGTTATGTTTAAAATCTTTTATTTTAATAAATTTTTATTTGTTGCATTACATATTGTTATTACAAAACAAAACAATGACTTCCATGTTGCAATAAAAGCGTATCGCATGAGAACCAATATTTATAGAATAGGGATAATTCCTGAAGTAATGCTGCTTCAGTTCATTCTGGAAGATCTGGAACAATGGAATATGCCTTGTGTCTTTATGATTTTTGCAAAGAATAATTACAAGGTTTAATGGGTCATTACTTTTGAATTGGTATCCAAGTGCAACATGTTTGGTGATATTTACTTTGATTTGAGCGCTGGTATTTAGCCAAAGTTCCAGTGATGCTGCAATCCTAAACAAATGTTCAGTCGTTTCTGTGTATGTGTCACAAAGGCTACATGTATTACTGTCTACATATCCCATTTTGAATAATATACTATTAGTAGGAAGGTGTTGAATTTAGTTTTGAAAGCATTTAGGCTTAGTATCTACACTGCACCAAAAGGTTATGCTGTTATAGCTTGTCCATTCCTCTAAAGATAATACTACTTTGTTTTTAACTAAACATTTGTAAAAGTATTGAGTGCTTTTTCACATTTGGGTAGTTGTTGCATATCAAAGGATCTAATGGGATTTAAGAGGGGTCTCAACTTCATCCACTTGATGCTTTTTGTCCCCCACCTTGCAAAAGAGCGAAGCAGGGGACATAGTATTCATGACCGTCCGTATGTCCGAAAAAAGTGTTGGCATGATATCTCGAGAACCAGTTGGTACATTTCATTCATATGTGGCACCAAGGTCAATTTGTAAGGTAAATCTAGTAACTGAAAGAGGATGATTTGTTCTCTTGGAAGTCTTCCTTGTTGAGCATCCCACAAGATTCACTTCTGATTGGACATCTCAATGTGCATGGACTCTATACACATTATAATCACTTCCTGACTGAAGAATTCACCATTACAATGTCAGTGCTATGCCTCACAGAAACCCATCTCCAAGATGAGGAAATACACCAATATGATCGTCTCCTTTCTCATTCATTCCTGCACAAGGCATCTGATCACGGAGTAGCAATGCTAGTTAAGAGAGATCTGAGTTACACACAGCTTCATTGTCCACCATCTCATGAGCTGATGGCAGTTATGGTTACACATTCAGAGACATCTGTATTGGTTGTTGTTGTTGTATTCCAACCCCCAGGCCCACTTAGGAACTTTCTGCATCTTTTGGATGAAGCTATATCTTCACTTCCAACAGGAATGGGGAAACAATTCTGACAGGAGACTTTAACATGAATAATGATGCACAACTCTGTCAGTTGGTGAACAAATTTGACCTTCATCTTGTGCAAGGCAGACAAAGATTGACACACATCAATGGTGGAGAACTTGATCTGATATTCACCACTGTCAACACTGTTGAGCTGACACAACCAGTCCCTGTCTTCTTCACTGACCACTTCCTGGTGTGGGTGAAGATGTAGCAGGTTTGTAAACCCATGAAGCATAACTTAACTTGCTTGACTTGCTGAGATAATGTTCCACCAACATACTAAAATACTTTTAAATTTGAGGGAGGGACATTGTATCAGGCCAGGACAGCTTGTTGATCCTTTCTCATGAAGATATTCTATATTGTCACATAAAATCACAACTTCCCATTTTAGATAAAAGCAATAATAAGTGGTGTAGCTCAAATTTTTGTGGATATCATGGAGAAATATTGTGTGACTACTTTACTTAAATTTAAGGAAATTATGTGCGTTACCGTTTTGTAGCAGCGGGGGACATTGACACACTGTGACAAATACTTGTTTTCTGCAGCATTGTTTTATGGAGTTTATTATGCTCATTTATGTCAAGAAATTTATTCATTAGTTAAATTTCTTAACAAAAGATTCTAAGGATATAAGTTTGCCTTTCATTTCCAACAAGTCATTTACATAGCATATGCCTTTTCTGTACCAATTTTCATAGCTGTGGGATCTGTGACAATAGTGATCTAGATAGAGCTGTGGGATCTGTGACAATAGTGATCTAGATAGAGCTGTGGGATCTGTGACAATAGTGATCAAGACAGCTGTGGGATCTGTGACTGTAGTGATCTAGATAGAGCTGTGGGATCTGTGACAATAGTGATCTAGATAGAGCTGTGGGATCTGTGACAATAGTGATCAAGACAGCTGTGGTATCTGTGACAATAGTGATCAAGACAGCTGTGGTATCTGTGACAATAGTGATCAAGACAGCTGTGGTATCTGTGACAATAGTGATCAAGACAGCTGTGGTATCTGTGACAATAGTGATCAAGATAGAGCTGTGGTATCTGTGACAATAGTGATCAAGACAGCTGTGGTATCTGTGACAATAGTGATCTAGATAGAGCTGTGGTATCTGTGACAATAGTGATCAAGACAGCTGTGGTATCTGTGACAATAGTGATCAAGACAGCTGTGGTATCTGTGACAATAGTGATCAAGATAGAGCTGTGGGGATATCTGTAACAATAGTGATCAAGACAGCTGTGGTATCTGTGACAATAGTGATCAAGACAGCTGTGGTATCTGTGACAATAGTGATCAAGACAGCTGTGGTATCTGTGACAATAGTGATCAAGACAGCTGTGGTATCTGTGACAATAGTGATCAAGATAGAGCTGTGGGGATATCTGTAACAATAGTGATCAAGACAGCTGTGGTATCTGTGACAATAGTGATCAAGACAGCTGTGGTATCTGTGACAATAGTGATCAAGACAGCTGTGGTATCTGTGACAATAGTGATCAAGATAGAGCTGTGGGGATATCTGTAACAATAGTGATCAAGACAGCTGTGGTATCTGTGACAATAGTGATCAAGACAGCTGTGGTATCTGACAATAGTGATCAAGACAGCTGTGGTATCTGTGACAATAGTGATCAAGACAGCTGTGGTATCTGTGACAATAGTGATCAAGATAGAGCTGTGGGGATATCTGTGACAATAGTGATCAAGACAGCTGTGGTATCTGTGACAATAGTGATCAAGACAGCTGTGGTATCTGTGACAATAGTGATCAAGACAGCTGTGGTATCTGTGACAATAGTGATCAAGACAGCTGTGGGATCTGTGACAATAGTGATCAAGATAGAGCTGCGAGAGTATGTGACTGTAGTGATCTTGATAGAGCTGTGGGGATATCTGTAACAATAGTGATCAAGACAGCTGTGGTATCTGTGACAATAGTGATCAAGATAGAGCTGTGGTATCTGTGACAATAGTGATCAAGACAGCTGTGGTATCTGTGACAATAG